GAGAGAGAGAGTAGTAGTATTTTATAGAGTATATATATTTTTTTCTATCACTGTTACCAGCCCTTTTTTTGATTAATTGACAGTTAAACAAGTGAACTGACCTTAGGTAGACTTCAGAGCGGGCACAGCCACTTGGGTTAACGGGCAGATCTTCCTCCTGACTGGCTTGCTTGTGGAAGCGGAAGGTGTGGCGCTGGCAGCGATTGGCCCCCTGGAGCTGTTCCACCAGGTAGACTATGGCATCGTACAGCATTCCCATCACACGTGCCCCGCTCATCCCAGAAAAAGTAAGCTGCCTCAGGCCAGCGACAGCACGGGCCTCCTGGACTCCCTCGATAACAGCGGACCAAGCAACTGTGTATGCGAAGAATGAATATGATCATTTTTTTGGTTCATAAATACATTTTAAAATTTTAAAACACTACAATTTACATGCACACATCACATATTTAGGTCTTTGGCCTTGCCGATGGCAAATGAATTAAGAACAATTTCAACAATAAATATTTCCTACTGGCCATTTACTTTGCATAATTAAAAAAATAAAATCAACTGATTAAATACAATAGCTAAAAACAAATACAAAATAATTGTTAAAAATATTTTCACATCAACCACAGTCAGACATGATCTCCTACCCTCGATACTGTCTGCTTCTACACTGAAGCCGTCATCACTAGCGATCTCAAAGCGTAGGTGGGGCTGGTCTCGGCTGGGAGGACTATGCTCTTCACCATCTGAGGGAGGCATCTCATCATCTGAACAGGACAGCATCCCTACAAGAAAAGAGTCTTATTGTTTAATTCATTGAAACACCTTAAAGTGAACAAAATAAAATAATAAAAAATAATACCCGAGTATTTGTTCCAGTCAGACAGTGCATTACGGTTAGTAGGATCCCAGGTTGCTGGCTTGTTGCTGTCTCCACCACGAGGCAACGAAAGACGATCCCAAGGTCCAGGCCTAAAATAAAATAAATGATAAGCCACGTACAGTGTCAGTGGTTTAGTCATGCCAATTTAGTGTCTAAAATGTTCTTTCCATTACAACAGTATAACGTCACTACTCAATCTAATGACATACTTAATTGGAAAAGGTGGAACAAACTGCCCACATAAAACATACTGTGGTATTTCTTATTATTTAATATGAAAGTATTCAGTATTCTTTCTTTGAAATATATAAAATATTATAATAACAGACATTTGGCATGATGCACTGCATGTATGCACTGGATTTACTGTTTGATGAGCAAAAAAAAAAAATACAGGTAGGTGCTAAAATTAGATTGTTTAACAAAACCATTTTTCAAAACCGTAATACTATATTACAAATACTTTAGCAATGCAGGACTCACAATGCTGCCAGTAACCTCATATTCTTGAGGAAGAAGGTGACATTTGTGTATTATTTCTTAACTTCAAAACTGTTGAAAAGGCATAAATAATACTGATACTTAAAAGTCTTTATTGAAATCACCCTGAAATTCCGCCTTTTCCACTTAAAGGCTCACCTTGCACTCTCAGAGTCACTACTTCGCTCTTCATTCAGCTTGTCACAGTCTAGAATTCCCTTGATGGTTGGGGTTTTAATGCGAACTCCATACCTGCAACAGAAATAGGAAAAGAGAAATTAATACTGAAAGCACAGAAAACATTAATAAATTTGAGTAAATTCCTACTGGTTCCATTTACCTGGCTGATACGGAGTTTGACTTGCGTGGTTCTTCCAATCCACTAGGGCGGTCCAGGTCTAAAAAGTCAGATTTTGATTTCTTGGTGGTAAAACGGTCAGATAAAGAGGACACTCTTTTCATTCGAACCTGTTTTGGTCGAGGTGCTGCTTCTGGTGTCGCTGGTGGGGAAGCCTTCATCTCTGGTTCGACAAGGAGTCCTTCTGGTAAAACTGAACTTGTTGTCTGAGTTTGCCCAATAATGGTAGTGTTACGAGGTGATGAGGGAATTAGGGAAACAGTCTTGTTGGGATCATAATATCCAGCCATAGCTTGGTTGATGATAGCTTGGGCACAATCTGCTTGATTAGATATATCTGAGGATGTTACTATTTGGCTCGTAGATTGTTTGCTAGAAGGGCCATGTGTGCTAGCAGACTTCGTCCTTCTAGGTGTAGAAGACTCCTTATTCCTTGGTTTTTTCAATCTATCTCCAGAAGCTTTGGCATTCCTACGTGGCTTTTTCACATCTGCTGGTATTGAAGCTGCTCCATTAGTACTAGTGGTAAGTAGCTGTGTAATGGTGTTGGAGGTCTGTACCAGTGGGGTCACAATTTGGGGGACTTGGGTTGGAATGGTGGCACCTGCAACTGGGGTCAAGTTCCCAGCTGCTGCAAGTGTTGCCGATAAGGCATTGCTTTGCAAGAGGCTGGCGATTTGAGTAACACAGTTATATGAAGGGGAATTTGGTGTCGGTAGCTGGAAGGTGTTGCTCTCAGGGTTTTTGACAAAAATCTGACCAAGACGATTAACAAGTAAAACATGTGGTGTAGGATCCACATTGGGTCCACCAACCTCCTTTACGGTAAGAATAGCATGACCTGGTAATGCTTGGGTAACCAACTGTTGTTGGGGTTCAATTGTTGATCTGGGGGTTGAAAAATTGATGGAAATTGTTCGTCCTAGAGCTGTTTCTCTTTGCATAGGTGTGGTGTTGTACCCATTGATGACACCTGGAGCAGAGACTGGCTGAATAGCAGAAGGCATTGCTTGGCACTGAGCTGATGGTTGAGAAGTTACAGAGGAGGAGATCATGCCAACAGTTGTAGAGCCGATGGGCTGTGGGTAAGTGGGATGCAATGGGACAGACACTGTACCCGAAACTGGCCCATAAGTCCCAAGAGGTACACCAGTTGCTGATGGCACAGACAGCATTGACTCTGGTTTCTGTGGTAAATTTGTGGGAATACATGGCATTGCCCCTCCATGGCTTGGTTCAGCAGGTGGGTGTAATTTGGTTCTGAAACTCTCCATGGGTGGCAAGACTGTCTTACCCTCAGGAGTTTGGACAGGGTACAAGGAAACATTTGCAGATGGTGCCTGATTTGGGAATGTTGCAAAAGAAACATGTGCAGAGGAATCAGAAGATAAAAGTTCAGAAAATGATGCAGATTTAGGTAACACTGTGAAAGGAACAGGATTTTGTTGCTGTAGATTCTGAATTCCATTAACTTCCATTAGGTCAGGAGAATCATCTTGCAAGTGGTTGTTTTGGTAAACTCTAGAGTCAGCCATAGATGACACAAAATGGCCACTACTAGGATCCAAGTACAATTCTTTAGAGTCCGGTGGGTCACTCAGGGAATCCTGGACTGGGACCAACTCTGTGAAATGGGCATTTGGTGAAAGAGGATCACATCTCTCAAAAATTAAGGGTGTCTCTGGTTCAACCATTAAATGAGGGGTTTGGTAATCATTACCATATGTAGAAAATGCAGTGTTTGAAGGCTTTTGATCAACGAAATTTGTCAAAGGGTCTTGGCTTGATTGCAATGTTTGCGTTACACCAAAATAATCTTGATCAGCAACAGTCTCCGAGTTGGACACGGGTTCTAATTGAATTAAAGAAAAATCAGAAACAGGACTTGGAAATGCCAAACACAGACCGTTGCTAGCTGTCTGTTCATGAGGCACAGCGTTGAATGGTTTGTGTGGCTTTTGGGCTTGATTTGACAATTTCACACCCTGGTTTTCATTATTAGCCACACTTGTATCACTCTCTGTCCCATCATCCACACCATCAAGTTGTGAAATCTGCCTTAAAGATGGAGATGTAGATGTCTGAGAGGCATCCCTTTGAGCCTTGCAAGTAACCACTGTGCGAGTGAAGTTGAAGTAGTTTTCCATGTCCTCATCAGAAGAACTATTACCCCAGTCTTCCCTACAAGGATCAACAGTACAAGACAATCTCTGCGTAGACATTTTGGACTTCTCTTCATCTGGCTCCCAGAAGTCTTCCTGGTTGTCTTCACCTTCAACTACAATTTGCGCACTGCAGTTCATAGCTACACCTTCATTCAGCTCGGTTTCTTCAATTTCAAGCTCAGTTCTCAGCTCAGGTGCCACAGTACTATTTGACTCGTAGATTGTTTGCTAGAAGGGCCATGTGTGCTAGCAGACTTCGTCCTTCTAGGTGTGGAAGACTCCTTATTCCTTGGTTTTTTCAATCTATCTCCAGAAGCTTTGGCATTCCTACGTGGCTTTTTCACATCTGCTGGTATTGAAGCTGCTCCATTAGTACTAGTGGTAAGTAGCTGTGTAATGGTGTTGGAGGTCTGTACCAGTGGGGTCACAATTTGGGGGACTTGGGTTGGAATGGTGGCACCTGCAACTGGGGTCAAGTTCCCAGCTGCTGCAAGTGTTGCCGATAAGGCATTGCTTTGCAAGAGGCTGGCGATTTGAGTAACACAGTTATATGAAGGGGAATTTGGTGTCGGTAGCTGGAAGGTGTTGCTCTCAGGGTTTTTGACAAAAATCTGACCAAGACGATTAACAAGTAAAACATGTGGTGTAGGATCCACATTGGGTCCACCAACCTCCTTTACGGTAAGAATAGCATGACCTGGTAATGCTTGGGTAACCAACTGTTGTTGGGGTTCAATTGTTGATCTGGGGGTTGAAAAATTGATGGAAATTGTTCGTCCTAGAGCTGTTTCTCTTTGCATAGGTGTGGTGTTGTACCCATTGATGACACCTGGAGCAGAGACTGGCTGAATAGCAGAAGGCATTGCTTGGCACTGAGCTGATGGTTGAGAAGTTACAGAGGAGGAGGTGGAGACTATGCCAACTGTTGTAGAGCCGATAGGCTGCAGGTAAGTGGGATGCAACGGGACAGACACTGTACCCGAAACTGGCCCATAAGTCCCAAGGGGTACACCAGTGGCTGATGGTACAGACAGCATAGACTCTGGTTTCTGTGGCAAATTTGTGGGAACACATGGCATTTCCCCTCCAGGAACTGAAGGGACAGGATGCCTTGGTTCAGCAGTTGGGTGTAATTTGGTTCTGAAACTCTCCATGGGTGGCAAGACCGTCTTACCCTCAGGAGTTTGAACAGGGAACAAGGAAACATTTGCAGAAGGTGTCTGATTTGGGAATGTTGCAAAAGAAACATGTGCAGAGGAATCAGAAGATAAAAGTTCAGAAAATGATGCAGATTTAGGTAACACTGTGAAAGGAACAGGATTTTGTTGCTGTAGATTCTGAATTCCATTAACTTCCATTAGGTCAGGAGAATCATCTTGCAAGTGGTTGTTTTGGTAAACTCTAGAGTCAGCCATAGATGACACAAAATGGCCACTACTAGGATCCAAGTACAATTCTTTAGAGTCCGGTGGGTCACTCAGGGAATCCTGGACTGGGACCAACTCTGTGAAATGGGCATTTGGTGAAAGAGGATCACATCTCTCAAGAATTAAGGGTGTCTCTGGTTCTATTATTAAATGAGGGGCTTGGTAATCATTACCATATGAAGAAAATGCAGAGTTTGAAGGCTTTAGGTCAACAAAATTAGTCTGTGTGTCTTGTGTGTGTACAGCCACCGTAGGGTTTGATTGCAATGTTTGAGTTACACCAAAAGAATCTTGATAAGCAACAGTCTCTGAGTTGGACATGGGTTCTAACTGAATTGAAGAAATATCAGAAACAGGACTTGGAAATGCCAAACATAGCCTATTGCTAGCGGTCTGTTCATGAGGCACAGCGTTGAGCGGTTTGTGTGGCTTTTGGCCTTGATTTGACAATTTCACACCCTGGTTATCATTTTTAGCCACACTTGTATCACTCTCTGTCCCATCATCCACACCATCAAGTTGTGAAATCTGCCTTAAAGATGGAGATGGAGATGTAGATGACTGAGATGCATCCCTTTGAGCCTTGCAAGTAACCACCGTGCGAGTGAAGTTGATGTAGTTTTCCATGTCCTCATCCGAAGAACTATTACCCCAGTCTTCCCTACAAGGATCAACAGTACAAGACAATCTCTGGGTAGACATTTTGGACTTCTCTTCATCTGGTTCCCAGAAGTCTTCCTGGTTGTCTTCACCTTCAACTACAATTTGCGCACTGCAGTTCATAGCTACGCCTTCATTCAGCTCGGTTTCTTCAATTTCAAGCTCAGTTCTCAGCTCAGGTGCCACAGTCAGGTCCGCCTCTAAGTGGAAGGATGTGTAAGGGAAATCCCTGTCTCTGCCTAGATGATTACCTTTTTGTGTACCCAAAGTGTCTCCTAATAATGGCAAGGCACCATTTTCTGCTGGATGCTCCCGTGGTGATGCTATAAAATTATGTGGAAGTTCAACAGAGTCTATCTGATTAAAATCAAAAGGCATTGGTCTTGTGGAGAGGTGGGTGGGAGATGTGAGTGATTGGTTGGTGCAAGGGGTGCTGCTAATGCCACCTTGCCTTGTGGACTGTGAAAATAGTCCTGAGGTAGAATGGGGTGTCAATATTCCAGAACCCCGGACTGAGGAAGCACTTCGACCGACAGGACGAGCTGATGAAGAGGTCAGCAGGTTTTCAGTAGCACCAAGGGGGAAAACTGGGGAGGTAGGCTGGGAGGTTTTAGGGTGGTGGGAACCACCTGCTCTAGATGCAATTGGGGCTGCAGGGGATCCAAGAGTAGGGGAGGTCATGTGACTGCGGGTACCAATATTCTGGGTGTGTGGGCTATGCCGTCGTGGCCTTCGAGTGTCATCCAAATCACTAATAGTCAGGATGTGGTGAGGTTTGGATGGGGCAGCTCCTGGGTAAAACAAACAAACAGTCAATCATCAAAATGCTTCTTATGAACTTTGTGAAGGCCATACATGCATCTTCATTGAATTGCTATTAACTACCTGGAGAAGGCAGTGGTCTGGATAGTCCTCCAGCAGGTCTTCTGTTCTGGGGGTATAAAGGGATTTTGGGACGAGCACCAATGTCCGGTTTGGCAAAGACAGATACAGAGGTGGAATTTGTTTCAGTGGAAGGATTAGTTGAAGACAAATCCACTCCCGGGGCTTCAGATTCTAATGAACATATAAATTGGAATTTGAATATTCAAAAAATGCCATAAAGTACAAGCTATCACTTTGCAATTAGTAATATTATTCACCTGACTGGGGCCATGGGCTATGGGCAATTGTGCAATTTTCTCCATGATCGGGCGACTCTTCCACTGGTTTTTCCTGAACAGTTGGCCGAACCTCCCTAACACGAAATGTGTATTTGCATCGACGTAAGGGGTTTACAGTACTCCAATACCAGCGAGAGCATCTAAAAAGCAGAAGAAACAAAAACTGTATTGATGTGCAAGCAAGTGCCAATACTAGAAGTGTTATAGAAGTACCATGTCCATTATGTCAGGAGCAAACTCCTAAAAAATTAAATGTACTTACTCATAACCCACGGGGAAAAGTTTTCCATGACAGGCAGATAATTCACTCAGCTTTCCAAGCTTTTTTACTAGCAAAGAACCTAACAGGTGAAAATTTTAGTTTAAAACATTGTGCAGGAATTGTACAATCATTTTTATATAACAGTACGTTACATTCATATTTATACACATTACATTGTGTTATTTATATATCCTTCAACAATAAAAAGACCAACCTATCATTAAATTGATTGACTCCGGCTCCAATCCAGTCAAAAACTTTCTGCGAAAACTAATCCCTTCAAAATCCACATAAACTCTCCGAAGTACTTCAAACCCTTGACCAGTGATGATCTGGTAAATTACAGAAGAAAAAAAAGTGTTCTCTCAGACCAGCCATTTAAAAGCCAACAAACATAACGTTTCTATTTAACTGAATTTTTTGTAAATATAATAATAATAAAAAAAAATTGCAGCTATGACTAAATTAAATGCTATTAAACTAAAAGCTCACTTTTCCACTTATAAGGTCACGATGCTTGTGACAGAAAACTCTTTTATCATTCTGGAAGACACAGTTGCGAAAGCGGGCGCACATGAAGTGGTAGTTGCTCTGGCACGAAGTAAGGCAGCAACCTACTGTTGCCCCAGTTCGGTTACACCGTTCACAGCGCTACGGAAGGAAAGTCAGAACATTAGCAAAGCCAAACATTATATTGAGTTTAACTGTTAACTGAAGCAAACTGTTCAATTTAAATACTAAATTATGAAATTTCAAACTATTACATTATACATTAACAAATCTATAAAGCATCATGTTTGTAAAAGTTATTAACTCAAGGCAGTACAAAGTGTCACCAATGGCTCAGTTGAACCAGAATTACATGAGATTAATGACATACCATCAGACGACCTCGTGCAACAGCACTGTGAACATGCAGAAGTGAGCCATTGTCCTCCTCAAACACCTCTGCAGACCACATGGTGCAATTTACATGAGCCCATTCATTCTGCCCTAGATAGAGCAACCTCCCTGCATCCTGGGAAGAGAAATGTATAATACAAAGGATTGTAATTTCAGTTTACAGTAAGAGTTGTATGCTGTAATTTTATGACAATGCATCTGATAATTATGACTTTGTAAGCACCCTTAGGAAAAGTACTGCGAAGTACTGGTATAGTGATATTATCAGATGGTAATGCCATAATGATAGCTATAATGATTGCTATATTAATATACCATAGTGTTTACATGGTACTGCAAAGAATACCGTAATATTTACATTACGTGTTTCATAAAAAAAACAACACGGTATTACCATGGCACCATTCCTAAAATCCATGTTAAGGCCTAATAGTAAAAAGCTATAATAAAGGTAGAATACTGTGGTGAGTTTACAGTCTTAAATTATGTCTTAAAAGTACTTACACTGGCCTTTGCATCACCGTATTTTTGACACAGAGCGCACTGTCTCTCGTCGTCCAAACCTGTGTCCAGGTCGGATTTAGCAGGCCGACCCTTCTTCCCTGGGAGATAACATCAAAATCCAAAGTTAGGATAATTTGCACTGCTTTCCATATGTTCACAATCATGAATGGTTACTAATGTCATTCTATACTTGCGTGTTTATTTACCTTTCAGATTCATTTGTAACGCCCTTGTGTCCATAAAGTATCCTTTAGGGTTATGGGCTAAAGGTGTGGACACATCCTCTTCTTCTCCCAATTTAACATCCATGTGTCTTCCAGTACTCTGTGGGGCGCCGTCCAAAGCCTTATGACATCCATCTCTCTCACGCCATTGAGCATAAACATGTTCATAATTTGGTGGCATCACAGCATGTGAAAGCATACCGCTGCAGGAATGGAGGCATGTCTCATTGCCAAAAGATACAACGTTTCCACTCATATATGAATGTTTATTTCAAATGGAAAGAATTTGATGGTGCTTACGCTGGCAGATGTTTGGAGCGTGGATCCCATATTTTAGGGTCCTGACTGTTAAACCACGCATAAACTTCCTCTAAGAGCTAAAAAGGATTGAAAAGCAGATTTTAACCACAAAAACATATATCCTAATAGCATTTCTAGGACTATATTTGGAAATGCATGCTAACATACTACTTTGTTTTGTCTCATGTGATTGGACTGCCAAAAGTTAAATATATATGTATGAATCATGCAAAATTAAACTACAATGTAAAAAAGTATTTTTGCTTTCAAGATGATAAAACTAACAGTCTGCAGTTTAAACAGCTGTAGTGTCAAACAGCAACTGAAGTTGCAGTCATATCCTGACTAACAATAAAATTCCAGACTTGTATTTTTAAGCAGTGCATCATTAGTATGGTTTTCACAGAATGACCTAAGGTACTCTGACTGGTTGGGTAAAAACATAACTTTGGTAATTAACTAAAAATATAAAATACATTCGAATCTGACCTTCAGGTAATACGAGCGGGAAAGGGCAGTGGGTCTTTGGTCCTCCGGTAAAAATTCCTCATCTTCCAAGTAATTGCGAATTACTGTCACCACATCCTCATGAAAGGATTTCTGCTTGACAAAGCCACAAACGAAATCAACATTGCTATTTTGTTTTTCTGTTACCGAAACAAGAGTTTAAAAATGTTTACATTAAATCAAGGATTAAGTTTGAGATTGAATAGCTAAGATGTGTGTCGAGAGAGAGATACTAGTGATTAATTTGCAAGAGAATCTGCATTTATTTAGTTCAGAAATGGCATCTCAAAACCACATAACAAATAACTTCTAACAGTAATTACTCATAGTCACGCATAACGCACTAGATTATTAGCTTTATGGGATGCCAAACACTCTAAAAGCATGGTGAAACTGCACAGCCAAATTGAACTATAGAATGAGGACCAATTACTATGGTCATTTTCAAATGTACAATCCCATTCGAGGATAACTCCATTTCTTTGCGACTTAGAAATCAAACTTTGAAGTACAATGCTAAAGACTTTTCCCTTATGTTGATCTCAGATCTAAGACAAGCACAGACACGGAGTCTGTGTACAGACACTGACCAAGGATGTGTACAGGCCTTCATCAAACTTCTTTCCAATAGCACGGAAGTCACAGACAGGCAAATTTCCATCCACAGTGTTCAGGGAACCCACTGTAGTGCACTACGAAACAAGACAAAATACCAGAAATCTGTAACTAAGCAGTGTTCCTTTTTATATGTATCCTGTAAAAGACAACCTTGAACATGAATGTTAAAACATTTCAACCATAAAAACAAAAACATTTACTGACATTTCCTCTTGATTGGGCTTTCCCTGTTGAAAAAAACAGCATATGCTGGTTAGGTATGTTTTGACGCTGGGATACTGGCTTAAGCTGGTCCTTTGCTGGTTTATGTTGGTCCTTTGCTGGTTTATGTTGGTCCTTTGCTGGTTTAAGCTGGTCCTTAAACCAGCAAAGTACCAGTTTAAACCAGCATCAAAACATACCTAACCAGCATATGCTGGTTTTTTCAACAGGGTTGTAAGACAGGACTGGAATGATAAAGTACAAGAGCACAAACTGCAGAGATTCTGCACATTCTGACCAATGATTTTCCAAGACTTTTCCCAGTCGACTGCAATGACTGGATAAGGGTTGAAAAGAAAATAAAAGAACTAGGACTATTGTGAATCATGACTTTACTTTAACTTTTCAGACTATAAATTCCAATGGCTTTTTTCATGGAATAAGGAAATTTCATGGACTTTTCATGGAAATTCTGAACCAGTAAAGGCTCATGCTTGCCACAACGAACATTCTAAAAATTTATTTTTAAAATGTTTATGTGAAACTAAATCATTCTAACGGCTGTTTAAACAATCAACAGAAACGGACTGCTGCGATTTTAAAAGTACAGCATACTAGGTTTAAAAGAGGATTTAAAGTCAAAAGCCAGATTCGGATGCTAAATGTTTCTCATGGGACGCAAGCGATTTTCAAGATTTACAGGAGACAGCTGATTTTATTGCCGACCGAATCCAGAATGTCGCTGTTTTTTCCCCAAGGTTGTGTGGTCATTTATTTGCTGTCCGAAACCACATCTCTGAGTTTACAAGAAGAAAATGCACGAAAATGTTTAAATCCACTGCCAAACACCATATGTTAACTGTAGCACTACGCTGTTATTTGCATGCATATTTATTACTGAAATGCAGGAAAGTATTTCCAAGAACAATATTTCATAACTACCACCACAGTGAGTGGGAGACGTTAAGAGCAAAAAGAAGAAATAGAAGAAAAGCACGTAAACATTTGAAATGGGTCATTATTATGGCAGCCACATGTAAACAACACAATTTGAAAATATGTATTATATACAGTTATATACATAAAAATATAAACCAAGCAGCTTTATGTTTACTCTATGTAAATAAGAGGTTGCATTAACTTATTTCTGCTAATCTCCACATTTTTTAAATGACAGCCATCATTTTGAGAGATTTCTCAAAAAGTTTCTATTTTCCTATTTTTAAACAGGATATTGTTAAATATGAATTTTTTCTTATTATTCCAAACATATGACATTTTATTTACAGCAGACAACCATGTGCCTGGCCCCGTGAGCAGCGCATTCCCGGGTTCTGTAGGATCACAGAACTCTTCTCCACGGTCAATAATCAATGGGTTTTAGCACAGAGGTGCCATGTAAATTTATTTTACAGACGTCCACATGAGAAACAATTACTGTCCGAATATGGCTAACGAAACATCATAATTCCCATAATCCTTTTTTTTTTTTTGTAGTAACACTTTATTTTTAAGGAGCAATTCTCACTATTAACAAGTTGCTTATTAGCAGGCATATTACTAGCATATTGGCTGTTTATTAAAATGTATAAAGCACATATTAATGCCTTATTCTGCAGGACCATATTTAGGTCTCTAAATCTTACCCCATACCTAAACTTAACAACTACCTTACTGACTATTAATAAGCAGCAAATAAGGAGTTTAAGCAGGGAGAGAGAGGGAGAGAGAGAGAGCATAAAAATATACATTCTCAATATAAAACCCAGTCAAATTATAACATTTTGTACTAGCACATGAACAACAGTTAAATATTAATGACACATGAACCATTCCTTAACAGGAAACTTTACCCCAGTGAGAGTCAGCTGATGAAACAGCTGCAGAGCATAGGCAAATGGCAACTAAAGTCATTGTATTATGCTAACTCCAAAAAAATAAAAAAATAAAAATAAATGCTGAACACCTGCATAATTTATTATAGGGCTATAAAAAAAATCTGACTGTCAGATAGTAAGATCCTACAAGTCTCACCTTGATCAAACAACCTAGT